CATAGGTTTGAAAACCCCAGATACAAGGAACTTTTCAAAGTTTAAAAGTACAAACAGAAAGCTATAAAGATTACATGCACAGCTTAGATCACAACAGATGTTTGAAAAACAAATCCTATAAACTAAGAATGGCTGAAAGGATAAGAGTTTGAACTAAATCAAACTCCTCAAGGTGCAATGATAACAGCTTCACGTTGACTTCGTCTAACAGAATAGTGAGAAGCCATGTTTGATGATGGTTCCTAGGCTGACACCAACAGAGTATGGTGCTTCATATTATTCTCAAGCTTTGAAGTGGGAAGAGAAGAAAGAGAAGGGATAGAATAGAAGGAGTAACAGTCGTCAGCGACTTAGGGAGAAGCAATGCTGGTTCCTAATTCAATGATTTTTATTTTGGATTAATTGGAATAGAGGTTTCGATTGCTCTGATATGTGGTAAATAATTGAGGAAGGAGAAGCAATTGTTTATGGTGCTGCTGACTAATATCCAGGCCAAAGTCCCAAGCTGCTTCCTAATTTATTTTCATGGATCCACTAATTCTTATTTTGATGCCTCAGTATTTGTTTTATTTTCTCTTCTTCTTATGATATTAATCAATTGCCAACCACACAAGTTTCGTAACAAGAACGATTTGCATGACATGAGCATACGGTAATCATAACATTTTTCATCAATGATACAATAATATGTATAAGTATTTTTTTGTACTTAGAAGATTAAAATAGAGAAATGCATGTTAAATGTGCCTATAACGGTGTTTTAGTGTCAGAAAAAAGAAAATTATGACAAATTTCTATTTTAATTTTAAAGTTGTTAGAAAAAACATGTAGACGAGTAAGAAAAGGGTAAATGGGTAAAAAATGATAAACAAGTTAAAAACGGATACACGGTTATGGTTAAATGTATACGCGGTTATGTGTATGGTTAACTGTTTATAAACGGTTATGAATATAGGTATAACCATTTATACAATTACCCAACAAGTAAACGGTTATTCGAGTAAGAGCTTAAATGGTTATGGGTAAATAACCGCAGTTACACGCCCGCCATAACAATTGCCTATCACTAACTCGTAAATAACTAACCATTTATGTTACTACACGTGTTAATTACAATTAAAAAATAAAATTAAATATGTGTGGATCAATTTGGTTAACCACATCCTAAGAATTTTGGGGACCGATTAAGGTCGGTGCGGTTAGGTTTAATCGCCAAAAATTCAAAAACAAAAAATAAAATAAAATAAAAAATAAAAAAACCAAACCAAACCAAGCCGCTGGTGCGGTTAGTTTTTTTTTTTAAATGTCCAGCTCTAGATAAAACAAATAGGTTTGAATAAAGTTTTTCTTATGATGACTATTTATTTATAAAGAATATCTAATCTCTACTAATTAATAAAACATTCATTGTCAACTAAAACTTCATGAAATTATCAGCTTAACCCTCTAATTAAAGCAGAACATGAATAAAAAAATATGGAGCATAAATGTAATTTCATACAACCAAATTTTGATATTTTTTTTAAAGACTCACCTACATATAATCCTAATATATATATAATAGTTGAATGAGGAGGATCCTCTTCGAATCCTCTTTATGAGAATACTGGAGATCATCAAATTATGTTTGTTTATCATACATCATGCGGTCATAAATTATTTTAAATATTTTTATTTAAAATTAAACATAAACAATACCTGATGAAAACTAGTCACACAATATATGATAAACAGACACGATTCAAAAATCTCGTAGATCCTCAAAAATAGGATCCGGAGAGGATCCTCTTATCCAAACTTTGAATCTATCTAGAAAATTTCTATAAATTGGATTGATTCTAATTTTCTTTTTTTTAGTACAAGATATATTTTACACTATAGGGATGGAGAGTTCGGTTAAGCTACATAATAAACAACCCAATTAGTTATCGAATTCGCCATCCACGAGATTCGAACCTAAAACCTCTCACTTACAAGTGAAGAGGAATATCATGAAATCGTAGTACTAAGTGACAAGATTGATTCTAAATTAAAATTGGATACTTTTTTTTTTATAAGTATGCATATCATTTAATTTCTATGGTTATTTTTTTGGGCAAAAGACTGTTTACTATCCTCATGTTTCGTAGTTTTCAACATTTAATATATTAAGTTTTTTTCGTCCCAGGTCATACCTAAAGTGTTAATTTTGAAATAGTCTTATACATATGTTAATCAAACTATTAAGTCTGTCGTTAATTGATGATATAACGTTTATGTGGACAATGATTGAAGGTCACTGTCACTAAGGGATCCACGTGGATTTTTTTTTTCTTTTTTCAGAAGGGGTTAAAAAATAAAAGAACAAAACCGTCTTCTCCCTCCCTTCTCTCTTCTGCATCATCCCCTCGCACCCTCTCCCTCCCTTATCTCTTCTGCAACCCGGGTCTTTGGGTTTCAGGTTCGAGTACGAAACCGAGACATTGATGACCTGACTCGACCCGTCGTACTCGATCCACGAGTTCACCAGATTGCCGCTCTTGAGATCGATGTCGACGGCATCCAGATCCAACACGACGTGGTTCCTGTTGATGTCCTCTCTCTCTCGCCATCACAGTACCTCCAAAGGGTTTCTTTTGTAGCGTAATTGAAAAGGTTGGGTGTTTATTGACCCATGTGCTCTTCTTTTGTTTGCTCTTGAGATCGATGTCGACGGCATCCAGATCCAACCCGATGTGCTTTTCTTTTGTAGCGCACCATTTTCTCAGAGCTGTACTCGATCAGGTTGGGTTTGATTTCTTTGGTGGGATTTCATTTTTTTGGTGGGATTCGATCAGGTTGGGTTTTATTTTACTTTTTCTTGAATTATTTTTTGGTTTTTATTTGTTTTTTGTTGGGTTTGATTTCTTTGGTGGGATAAATCTGTTGGTGAATTTTTGTTCTTGGTAGCGTGCAAAAAAACGATTAAACTTCAGCTTGAAGAGAATTGAAAGATGGAAACTTGGTGAGATCGAGAACCGCGACATGGTCGGTTGGTGCAGATGAGAGAATGGAGGGATAAGGGAGGAAGGAGGAGAGAAGGGAGGGAGAGGGTGTGAAGGATGAGGGAGGGAGGGGGAGGGAGGGAGAGGATGCGGGGACGAGGGAGGGAGAAGACGCTTTTTTTTCTTTTTTTTTTTTTCCCTTAATGATATGGGATGCCATTGTCCATATAAGCGTTATCAATTAATTACAGATTTAACAGTTTAATTGAAACTATTTTAAAATTAACACTACTTTAAGTATGATTTGAGAAAAAAAAAACTTGATATATTAAATGTTAAAATTTATAAAATTTTATGATAGTAAACAGAATTTAAACCTATTCTTTTTAATCGGTAACTATAAAATTTAGGAAGTTTTCTAAATATTTTATTTTTGGCAGTCCACGACCACACACTCACACACCGACACTTCCCCGCAAAAGATCTCTTTGCCATAAAGTAAGCATTGGTCACGAGTAGTCACGTGACCGAAAACAAGTACTTCACGTCAGACAGAACTTACGAACTTGTCATGTCTCTAGCTGGTCGTCTAGTCCGCCTAGTCCTTCACTAATCGTCATAGTTTTCAGAGGACAAGAATTGTCTGTCCTTTCATTTCTAGTATCTTTTTGGTGCTCTTTCGTCTTCTTCTATTTATGTAATCGCGGTTAAATTATATTAATATTTTATATTACTATTTATTTTTTCTTATTAATTTTATAAAAAAATAATATAAAATATTAGCATGATTTAACTGTGATCACACAAAACAGAAGAACACAGAAAGGCATCTTAAGTGAGAGGGCAGACAATCGTTGTCCAATTCCAGAAGCTTCTTGTTTACACCGACGCACGTCGCCCAATGACTGCACGCGTTTCTAGACACGTTGGATATTGCGCGTATGATTGGGACAACATAAGATTAAGTAGCATTTTATAAATTTTAAAAGAATAATACTTGCATTTCTCGTTATTAAATGATCTCCTTCCCCCTTGGGCTGAGAATATAAATTTCATAATCAAGCATCTTAATTTCTTAAACTACAAAAAAATATATTTTAATCTAAAAATTATTTTTATCGGTCAAATGTATATAACAAATTAATAGTGTAAGTACCAATTTCTGTTTCTATTATTTTGTACTAAAAAAATAGTATAAGTACAAAGTATTATATTCGTAATAAATTGTCCATTTATTTGATGCATTTAGACCAACTCTCAAATTTTATGTTCTAAACTTACCTCAACTTGCTCTAACCCTTGGAACAAATATGAGTTTTAACGCAAAACTCATTTATAGTGCAAATTTAGCCCAAGATTCTCTGGGTTATTGGGGCTGGCCCACCATATATGTGTACTTTTTTTCATTTTATATTTATAAATTTATTGAATCCAACAGCTAAAATCTAATATGATCAAATCTAATAATTAAAAAAAAAAGGATATATCGGTCCAAATTTAAATCTAACGACTAAAGTAATTAAAAAAAAGTGCTTTTATGTCTTTCATATTCTTTCATAGTGTTTCACAAGTTTCATGGTGTCAGTTAGTGATTTTTCAATATTTGTCGGAATCTAAATAAGTTTAGCTTAAATGTTCATAAAATTAAACTATGATAGTCTACATAATTTTTCTTTAAAAAAAGTTACTTTACGAAAAAAAAAAAAATTAGCCTAAATTCATTCCTTAAAATCTGGGCTAAAATTTTAACTCACAAGAGTTGAAGTAGAAAAGTTGTTTCTGAGTTAAAACCTAAATTTTTTGGGATAAAAATATTAGGTTTTAATCCAAGAGTTGGAGATGGTCTCAGAAGATTAACTATCTCCAATTTTAAATGTTTTTTTTTGTATAATTAATTCTCAAATAAAGATTAATAATTTAAACGATTTTATTGTTAATTTTATTTAGTTAAATTACACTAGTACATGCCCACACACAAAGTGTGAATTTTTTTGCTTTAGTTGTTAAAATTGAAGGAGAGATGAATAGAGTGAGAGAGAACGTGAGAGTGATGAGAGAGGGAGATAGACTGTTAATTTTTTTTTTTTTTAAATTAGAGATGATAAACTTAAATGTAGTTGAGGTTTAAAACAAAAAAGGAAAATTTTGTTTTGTAAAATTACACTTCTATTCTTAACTTTTCTATTGTGATGGTAGATAAAGAATTTCTTCATACTCTTTTGATAGATAAAGAAAATTTCATTAATGTAGTTTTAGATTATTCATCTCTAATATTAGAAAGCCAGAAGTGAGTTTTGGTATCTCAAGGCTTCACCAAAAATAATTGGACGTAAAAGCCCCTCAAACAAAAAAACCCAACTCATGGAATAAATTATAAAGAAATTTGATAAGGGATAGAATTGTCCAAATAAAAAAAAGTCATAAAATGATAAAATAGAAATAGAAAATAAAAAAGAAAAATAAATGATAAATACAACTACCTCACATATAAATAAAAGAGAAAAACATTGAACATGGGATTCAAACCTCCACGTTTCCTTTGCACGCATAGCATTGCTTCCCAAATCCTCCCCCCCCCCCCCCCCCCCAACTTCCCACTCCCACATCAGTATTTCCTCTACGTCTCTGGCTTTGCAAACAGAGCGGAATGGTTATAAAGAGGAAATAAACCGTCAGAAAAAAAATGGGTACAAAATTCCAACAACGTGGCCTCATAAACTTGACTAGAAGCTTTCAAGAGGAGTAAATGAATTTTCAATACAAAAATGGAGCGGTGGTTTTGGATTTTTTTTTTAATTTAGGTTTACTTCTGAATTCATAAGTTAATAATTCCTTTTGATTTTTGTTTTGGTTATCCTTTTTTATCTTGCAAATTCATGACGAAGGATCGGGGTACAGAAGTGCACGTTCATTCATTTGCTCAACGTTTACGGTTTTACGGTGTCCTTGAATTTTTAATAATGCTTTTTGTTTTGGATTTTTTCTTTTGGTTCAAAATTGACTGAATCAGTCCTTAACAGTTCGTATATTGTACAAAGGAGTGTTATGTAATGTTCCATATTCCTATGAATAGCAATGCCATTGTGGTTGTTTTCTTGGCACCATGAAGATGCAGTTGACCCACGTTAATCTACTTTCTGCATGGAGTTTCGCGCTTCCAAACTACTGCAGGTATTTCTTCTTCAATGATTTAGAGCCAGGGGTTGTAATGATTGCTTTCAATGTACAACCAGTGTATGTTTTTCCTTCATTTTCTCTATAACCTATTGTATAATTTTCTCTAATATATACGTGTTATTGCCCAGCCTCATTGGTCACTGGGTCAAGGTGAAGCATCATGTTATATGTATGAAGGGATACAATGATTTGGTGTTGTTATCGTAGAAAGTGGGCTTGCAGGTAAAATGTTAAGTTTATGTCCTAAGAGCTCTCTCTCTCTCTCTCTCTCTCTCTCTCTCTCTCTCTCTGCGGGGGCTGTGTGTTGATTTCAGAGTTGTTCTTACATTTTTTCCCTCCCCCTCTCTTTTCTGTCTGTTTTTGTAGTTGATCTTTTCCCTCTCTACAGGTTTCAGTTCTCACCCATTTGCATGCTAAGAATGTACACAAATCGGTAAGTCTCTCTCCCGCGCATTTTCTTTAAATTTGGTTTGGTTTTCTATAATTTGATAATTTTTGGGTTTTTATTTTATTGTAAAATGTAAAATCTGATCTTGGGCGTTTTAAATTCTTTCAGGTAGAAAGAACTGCTTTGAAATTCTTTCAGTTTTGGCAAGGATACATTTTCCAGATCGATGAACCCAGAAGAGATATGTTCACTGAAGGACTTGATAGGAGCGCCCTTCATTGGGTTAGAGAGGTTTGTGAATAAAAATCATTACCCACTTTCTTTTTTCGAATTAAAAAAAAAAGTAGGGTTTAATTTTTACTGTTGTTTGATTTAGTTCTCAGCATCATTCGTGGTATTGTAGTGATTCACTACCCGATTAATAAAACCCATATTTTAATTCTTTTAATTTTATGGATTTTTGGCATCTGATTTTGGTTTTTGAATAAATCTAATTTGTTTACTGTTAGTCAAATTTGTTTAGATCTTTTCATCGGGGGTTACAAACAGCAACGCTCTCTTCCTGAAGAATAGCGAATTTGGTCTCGGTTTGAAGAAAATTTGAAGCCCATAAAAGATTGCATCTCCTGCTGTCGATTTGATTTGGGTAATTGTCTGCTTTGAATGTAATGTGCTTGCGAGTGTAAATTTGGATTTTAAATGGGTTTTTTGTTCAAATTTTTTGGTTGTGATTTTGGGAATTTTGTTTTGTAGCTTCAGATTATAGGTGATGATGGTTAATTTGGTTTTGTTTTCGATTTCAGGAGATTGGGTTTTTCGAGTTTGTGACTGTTCTTAGGAGCCTGCGAAGACCTGTGTGTTTAAGGTCAGTGAATTTGAAATTCCAAGGTTTTGATTCTACTTGCAGCCTGAGGTGTGATTTTAACCCAGATTAGTTAATATAATTATTTTTTTTTTCTGATTATGTAACTGAAGTAAACGTGGTTTGTAGGTTTTGCAGAGAAAAGGTCCTGCGGAAATCATTTCATGTTTTCGTTTCATATTTTCTAATTTGGGTGTTTCAAATTTGTTTCTACCACTTATGAAAAAATTCCAAGAACAAAGACTAATAATCTTCTCCTGTTTTGTGGTTAATTTATGAAAACAGGGGAATTATGAATGTTGTGAGACTTCACTTCTATATGGTCTGATGCATAAATGTGTTTGATGTTATTTTATGAATATGTTAAATGGGTTAAGATGCATATCGTTGTTTACAGGGTATAAAAAATAGTTAGCTACTTTTTTTTGTGCTTTGGGGATTTTATCAGATTTGAAATAAGACGAAGATGAAATTAATTTCGAACAAATTAAAGAATGCAAAATTTTGTTATTTGGTTATTGATTTATTAATGGTAATGAGCTATTCAACTTTTTTTATTTTAATTGTGAGAGTTTTCTAACTTTCTTCATGTCTTGGGTTCTCTTTTGGATTCGTTCTCTGTGTTTACATGGGTTTTGTTTGTGAGTTCCTTTTTTATGCGTGTTGTTTAGATTGGTGGTTTGAATGTGTCATTTGGTTTTATTTTTTATTCCAGGAGTTGTGGGTCTTCATTTTTTGGGGCCTTTTTCTCTGCCATTGTAACATTTTCGTAATAGAGGTAAGTAATTTAGAGTTACTCTTTTCAGCCTATTATGTAAGAAAGTGATAATTCTTTTCGCATATTCTGAGGTGTCAGTTTTGTATGATCTAAATGTCAAATGTGTTTCATGTTATTTTATGAATGTATTGAATAACTTGGAATTTATGTGATTGCTCATAAGAAATATAAAATACTTAATTGCTGTTCTTTGTTTTTTAGTAAAGCCTCTCAAAAGTGAATGATACAGCATAGAATTACTTTGTATAACCTAGCATAAAAGAAGTGAAAAAAAGGCCACAAGGTGAATAACTGCTTTCTATTTTAGGAGAGAGATATTAAACAGAGAAATTCAAATTTGTTATGTTGGGGAAAAAAAACAAATAAAACAACAAGAACGGAATAACTTCTCCTCCATTTTAGGAGAAAATATTAATATCTATATTAAAAAAGTATCTGATACATTATACTAACATATGCATATGGTCCAACTAATTTAGACGGATTAGGATGTCTCC